TAGTATAACACTCCTCTTAGCACTACAACTTTTCCTCTTCGGCTACTTTTTTTTATTTTCATTTTGATTCCTTTGATATTTGCTTCATCTGATGCCTTCTGATAGCAAAAGAGCGAGACTTGTTGAAATCCACAGATCTTTTTTTATGAATTAGAATCTCAACGAAGCTTTTTTTCATCTTTAAAACAAACCTTCTGGCTGTTGCCACCAAAATCTTTCTCGCCTTCGATTACAATAACGTTTGCACCTTCATGGATTGCTTCTAGTGTTGCTGATAGGCCGGCTAGGCCACCTCCTACAATGATGACGGGATCCGAGAAATCCGGCAACTGTAATTGTCCTTCATTTGCCTTCGAAGCACCACCAGTCGTTGTATCCTATTTCGCAAATTAACTCAGTGTCGTTTTAAAGATAAATTTTAAACTTCTGAAAGTGTTGTACTACAGCCACGTCCGAGTGAGCAATGTCAAAATTCCAATGCAGACACATTTCGCGCCTACTTATGCTGGTCTCCCCCTTCCAGGCAGCTCAAGGCCTAACGAGTAGCTGGCGTTACGTCGATGTCAGAAGTGAAAAATTCCTTCATAGTGGCTCTCTATGAGAGACGGAGGCACTCAGGAAGTAAATCGAGTAGTGGTAAATAACAACCAGCAACCACACGTCGGTAAGGCTGTCGATGGTTCCCTCTTTCAAGGGTTGCTTATAAAGCAAGCTGATGGCGTGTTTGACTCGCTGGCATATGTCAGTACCAATTTACTACTGAAACGAATGAATAAATCGTAGGGGGACCTAATGATAATGGTCAACAGCATCATGTCTGAATCCCACATTTCTGCTAATAGCAATAACTATCCTCAAAATGCTTTCGTCTTTCATACAGAGAAGGTACTAACCCTTTACTATTTTTTTATGAACATTCGAGAGGAAATGTACCACTAGAGTTTCTTCTCAAAAAACAAAAAGGGAAGACGAATATCAGGTTCCCTAATAGGCTGCCCACCATGCCGGTCTTGGAAACCTTAAAGAGATTCCAAGCGGTTATGATGGTGCAAAAATATTCAAATAAGAAACAACAGCAGATCAAAGCGTAAAAACAAGTATAAAGCAAGTGATACCATTGGTGATGCCTTCGCAATCATCAATATAAGTACATACGATAATACTCTCATTCGAATCTTCTGTGGCTAAAAATCAATGAATATAACTAATAAGTAAG